TATAACCACATTTATGTCAAAAAGAAGGGATTTATTTTATCTATTTTTTCAATTTTTTTATTAAATAATTATATTACATAACACCACTAATATAATATAACGGCTTCATTCAACATTTACTCACTAACACATTCAACATTTACTCACTAACACCCGTGAATAAATGTCAAGAAAAGCACATGGCGGCACAACATCACATCTTTTATTCTCTCAAGAATGTGGCACTCTTGACCCTTTGTTTGTATTTGTGGGGGTATCCTATACAAACTTTTAAATGGTAAATTTTGATGAGGTCCCCTAAGTTTTGTAAAGATCCCAATTGAAGATTTTGATTGAAAAATATGTTAATCTGATCAAAATTGGCCATAATACTTTGATAACGTGAGAGAGAGAGAGGGAGAGACCTCTCACCTACAACCACCTTTTCGTCACCTCAAGTAGTGCCCTGCTCCCTGCTCTTCAGTTGCCCGTTAGCTCGTTTGCAACGCTCTCTCCTCAACGGTCCACTCTCAAACCTCCACCTCATAGACCAATCTCCTAATTCAATGAAACCATCTCCTTGTAAATGGTTGAAGATAGGGTTTACTTTAAAAGGTTGGATTATGGTTAATTTTTTTTACAAAGGTGATGATTTCCATTGTGGATTTTGGTGGGAGGGGGTGTTGCCATGTCTTTATCAACTTCGGTAATGGCAATGATGGTCATAGATAGAGAAAGAAGAAGATGAATAAAGATAAGAAGGGAGAAAAAGGAGAAGCTTGGAGGCTTAAATTCGAATGAGGAATACATTCATAAACAAGGTTACTTTGATTTCAATGATGAATATAGACTATAATGTTGCTACTTCAATTACTATTTTTACCATAGTAATCTATTTTATTGACAAAAGGGATCCATTTATTCGAAACTTTTCAAAATTAAATGATAACCATAACAAAGGTGATCCGTGTATTAAACTTCTCAAAAGTAAGGGATCATCGTGTCATTTTTAAAACATCAGGGATCACCATGTAATTTTGACAAACCTCACGAAGTTTGAATTCTATNAGATTTTGATTTGTGGGTGTTCTATGTCAAATTTTTGAATTAGGCATTTAGAATATTTTGTTTATGGCTCGAGTCAAATTTAAAATTGCTTCAAAATTTGAGAGGCTTGACTCGATTAATCCCCTAATTATGAACGAAATGTCAGCAGTAGACGACGAGGGTTTGTTATCAACAATGTGGCCATTTCACACAAATAGAGACATGTCGGTTTCTGGTTCCCTGCACTGGTTTGTCAAATTTCGACAGCATTGACCAAGATTTGTGATCTATGCTGAACTTGTATAATATGTTAATTACTTCCACTCACTTTCAGTTTGACTGATTTGTTATTCTTCAAGCTTTTTTGTCTTTATCACAAAATCCGAGAAAATATTGGGTATTACGGCTTCCACCCGTAAGTGATATTACTTGATATAATTGTCTAATAACAACTAGACAAGTAAGTCTTATAAAATTTAATAACTGTCATTCACGTAATATATAACCACATTTATGTCAAAAAGAAGGGATTTATTTTATCTATTTTTTCAATTTTTTTATTAAATAATTATATTACATAACACCACTAATATAATATAACGGCTTCATTCAACATTTACTCACTAACACATTCAACATTTACTCACTAACACCCGTGAATAAATGTCAAGAAAAGCACATGGCGGCACAACATCACATCTTTTATTCTCTCAAGAATGTGGCACTCTTGACCCTTTGTTTGTATTTGTGGGGGTATCCTATACAAACTTTTAAATGGTAAATTTTGATGAGGTCCCCTAAGTTTTGTAAAGATCCCAATTGAAGATTTTGATTGAAAAATATGTTAATCTGATCAAAATTGGCCATAATACTTTGATAACGTGAGAGAGAGAGAGGGAGAGACCTCTCACCTACAACCACCTTTTCGTCACCTCAAGTAGTGCCCTGCTCCCTGCTCTTCAGTTGCCCGTTAGCTCGTTTGCAACGCTCTCTCCTCAACGGTCCACTCTCAAACCTCCACCTCATAGACCAATCTCCTAATTCAATGAAACCATCTCCTTGTAAATGGTTGAAGATAGGGTTTACTTTAAAAGGTTGGATTATGGTTAATTTTTTTTACAAAGGTGATGATTTCCATTGTGGATTTTGGTGGGAGGGGGTATTGCCATGTCTTTATCAACTTCGGTAATGGCAATGATGGTCATAGATAGAGAAAGAAGAAGATGAATAAAGATAAGAAGGGAGAAAAAGGAGAAGCTTGGAGGCTTAAATTCGAATGAGGAATACATTCATAAACAAGGTTACTTTGATTTCAATGATGAATATAGACTATAATGTTGCTACTTCAATTACTATTTTTACCATAGTAATCTATTTTATTGACAAAAGGGATCCATTTATTCGAAACTTTTCAAAATTAAATGATAACCATAACAAAGGTGATCCGTGTATTAAACTTCTCAAAAGTAAGGGATCATCGTGTCATTTTTAAAACATCAGGGATCACCATGTAATTTTGACAAACCTCACGAAGTTTGAATTCTAGATATCAAATATAAAAGTGTATCTGTTGCCCTCTCTTGCATTCACACTATTACCACCATTTCCCAATTATGCCAATGCGACTTAAATCAAATACCGGCGGCGGGACTTGTTTCTGTAACTTCTTTGTCTCTCCCAGCAACCCTTGTCCATACGTAGACACGTGTTCAAATTTCGCCCATATGTACCAAAAAATAATATTATCAGTTTCCTACTCTCTTTTTCATTCAATCACAAGATGACATATAAAAAGTTATATTATTAATTATTTTATTTTATATTTTATATTTGAATAAATTATGGATATGGTCCTCAAATTATGACCCTTGATTCAATTAAGTCCATAATTTATTTTTTTTGTCAATTGAGTTCTTACACTCTCTAATTGTGTCAATTGAATCATTCTATTTGTCTCCGTTAGATTTTTAATGAAAATTGGTAAAATATGTCACTCACGTTGCACAAATGAATTAGAGTAAACTATATATATGGCCTTTAAATTACAACTTTTGTGTCAATTAAGTCTTTAAACTTTTTTTTATCAATTTTATCCTACAACTCTCTAATTGTGTCAATTGAATCCTTCTGTGTTTTGTGTCATATGATCACGTGACTGACACACTCTAACAAAGGCAGATAGAAGGATACAATTGATACAATTAGAGAGTTCAAGAGCTCACGTGATACAAAAAAAATTTAAAAACTTAATTGACACAAAAATCGTAGTTTGAGAATTATATGTGTAATTTACTCTTTTTAATTTTAATAATTAATAACTATAAATAACAAAAATTAAAATTTATGAATAAAAATTATTTTTTAATATAGTATTCAATATCGTAATATTATCCAAATTCCCCACTGTGACATTACCAGTTCTAACATCTTCCAGGTTCATCCCCCTTTCAACTCAAACCTAACTACAAGTTCTCTCATGCACACTATTTCCTAGTCTTTTGGCCTACCCTCCATTCCTCAGCTTTTGTCCCTCACCCTTGGGCCCACTCTCACAACCTTCATTGTCTTTGCCTATATNGGATATGGTCCTCAAATTATGACCCTTGATTCAATTAAGCCCATAATTTTTTTTTTGTCAATTGAGTTATTACACTCTCTAATTGTGTCAATTGAATCATTCTATTTGTCTCCGTTAGATTTTTAATGGAAATTGGTAAAATATGTCACTCACGTTGCACAAATGAATTAGAGTAAACTATATATATGGCCTTTAAATTACGACTTTTGTGTCAATTAAGTCTTTAAATTTTTTTTTTATCAATTAAATCCTAGAACTATCTAATTGTGTCAATTGAATCCTTCTGTGTTTTGTGTCATATGATCACGTGACTGACACACTCTAACGAAGGCAGATAGAAGGGCACAATTGATACAGTTAGAGAGTTCAAGAGCTCACGCGACACAAAAAAAGTTCAAAAACTTAATTGACACAAAAATCGTAGTTTGAGAATTATATGTGTAATTTACTTTTTTTAATTTTAATAATTAATAACTATAAATAACAAAAATTAAAATTTATGAATAAAAATTATTTTTTAATATAGTATTCAATATCGTAATATTATCCAATTTCCCCACTGTGACATTACCAGTTCTAACATCTTCCAGGTTCATCCCCCTTTCAACTCAAACCTAACTACAAGTTCTCTCATGCACACTATTTCCTAGTCTTTTGGCCTACCCTCCATTCCTCAGCTTTTGTCCCTCACCCTTGGGCCCACTCTCACAACCTTCATTGTCTTTGCCTATATATATATATATATGCATACATCTAAACAACTACCATGAACTTTTATCTCTACTTCTACATCTACCCTTACCTTCTCGATACCAGACTTACCAGTATAACCTCTAACCCATTTAGCCCAAGAAAAGTAGGGAAAAGGAGACAGAAAATGGATGGGTATTCCAAGATCAGACTGGCTAAGGGCACCAAATCCAGATCCATGGATATATCAGATTTCTCAATCTTCCCTGAAACCCAAAAAGCCACTGAAACCACAAGTCCAAACCACACCTCCAAGACCCATGAATGCAAACAGATCAAGAGCCCCAACACCCATGAGGCCCCTTCAGATTCAGTGTATGAACGTGGGAATGGAGAGAGATTTGGTATGAAGTTAACTAGAAACAGTTCAGTTTCTTCAGCTTCATCCCACATGTTCAAGTTTGAGAAACAGAGCACAACAACAACACTCCNATTTCCCCACTGTGACATTACCAGTTCTAACCTCTTCCTCGTTCATCCCCCTTTCAACTCAAACCTAACTACAAGTTCTCTCATGCACACTATTTCCTAGTCTTTTTGCCTACCCTCCATTCCTCATCTTTTGTCCCTCACCCTTGGGCCCACTCTCACAACCTTCATTGTCTTTGCCTATATATATATATATGCATACATCTAAACATCTACCATGAACTTTTATCTCTACTTCTACATCTACCCTTACCTTCTCGATACCAGACTTACCGGTATAACCTCTAACCCATTTAGCCCAAGAAAAGTAGGGAAAAGGAGACAGAAAATGGATGGGTATTCCAAGATCAGACTGGCTAAGGGCACCAAATCCAGATCCATGGATATATCAGATTTCTCAATCTTCCCTGAAACCCAAAAAGCCACTGAAACCACAAGTCCAAACCACACCTCCAAGACCCATGAATGCAAACAGATCAAGAGCCCCAACACCCATGAGGCCCCTTCAGATTCAGTGTATGAACGTGGGAATGGAGAGAGATTTGGTATGAAGTTAACTAGAAACAGTTCAGTTTCTTCAGCTTCATCCCACATGTTCAAGTTTGAGAAACAGAGCACAACAACAACACTCCAGTCTGCTGTGAAAAGGGCCTTCTCAATGAGCAGATCTTCATCAGTTTCTGAGAGGTATTGCAGGATCCATGATCAGTGTGTAACACTAGCTTCTTCCATGGATGATGATGATGATATTGAAGCCATAGACAACAACAATGAAATGGAGAGAAGATCTGTGAAGAAGAAGAAGCATAGCAGGAGCAGTAGCAGTAGCAGTGGCAGGATCTTAAAAGCCTGTAAGCGCCTTTTTGGGCTTTAGCTGCATTATTTACCAATGGATCTACTTTGCAATTTTGTTCCACAAGTCAAGCCACTAAAAGGGTGTTTGTATTTTTAATATTTTCTCAATGTAACGATACAATTAAGATAAGTTATGACTCAAAACAGTTAAAATTACTACTCAATGATGTCGAGTTATGATTGATCTCAATTTATTCAGATTGATCATAACTTTTTAGACTTCATTGAGTCATAATTCATCCTAATTTATGTCACACGACGGAGTCGATTCGGTAGGTTTGCTGCCCATTATTGGATTTCAGATTGGGGTAAGATTGATTTAGGATGAGGTAGTAGTGTGTTTTTTTGCCTCTCTCTGAGTCTTTCTTTCTACCTTGTTCTTCTCAACTTTCTAAGTGCACTCGAAATTTTCAATCAAAATTACAACCATTTATGGTTCAATCCGAGGCTAAACTTTCATAACATTATTGTGATTTCTTTGCTGTACTGTTTGTCATGTGTGGCTACCACGTGTAGTAGATAAAACAGCAAAAAAAAAAAAAATTGCTTTAGAGAATTATAGGCTATAATTCATATTTGAATGCATGATCAAACATATAATTGAAGTATTCAAAAAATCGATCACTCTATATCAAATAACAATTTTTATTTATTTATTTATGTAATTTAAAATTAATATTTATCTATTATTTTTCATAAAAAAGATATCAGCATATGTACACATTTATATGTTGAGCTACAATAAAAAATTAAATGATTCAATTTGTGAACAAATAAACGAGAATAAATAGAAAGAAAAAACAAAAAAAAAAAAGAGTTTGTTTGNTGATCAAACATATAATTGAAGTATTCAAAAAATCGATCACTCTATATCAAATAACAATTTTTATTTATTTATTTACGTAATTTAAAATTAATATTTATCTATTATTTTTCATAAAAAAGATATCAGCATATGTACACATTTATATGTTGAGCTACAATAAAAAATTAAATGATTCAATTTGTGAACAAATAAACGAGAATAAATAGAAAGAAAAAACAAAAAAAAAAAAGAGTTTGTTTGGGATCTCTTTGTTTTGGATGAAAAAAGAAAGAAAAACCTTAAACAATTTTTCCTTCCAAATTGCATGATTTAACCGAAGAAACGATTTATCAGCAAAACAAATTTTACACAAGTTAAACCTGAAATCGATCCGTTTACAAACTCTTGTTCGTGGGTCATATCATTTTTGTAGTCGTGATAATAAAAAATCAACACTGACACATTAATTTTAAGTCTTAATGTTGTATCATGTCAAAAATTGTCACTTATACTTATGCCTTGGATTATATTTTACACGATAAATGTGTTTTTCCTTCTCTTTGGTCTCCACATGACATCTCTATGCATTTCNCGTTTACAAACTCTTGTTCGTGGGTCATATCATTTTTTGTAGTCGTGATAATAAAAAATCAACACTAACACATTAATTTTAAGTCTTAATGTTGTATCATGTCAAAAATTGTCACTTATGCTTATGCCTTGGATTATATTTTACACGATAAATGTGTTTTTCCTTCTCTTTGGTCTCCACATGACATCTCTATGCATTTCATGCCATAGTATTCTTCTTTCTACTTGTCCACTAATTTGCATTTAGTATTTAAAAAAACTATTAACACTAAAAAAAAATTTAGACAACTGCTTATCTTGGTTCTTCAAAATGATGCCATATCTTTTATGACGCTATATCTTTCTCTCTCTCTCTTTTTTTTTTGTTTAACGGTAAAATCGTTGACGTTAGCTTACACGCACCATGACCAATTTCTTCTTAAGTCCGATCAAAAGCAAGCCACGCCAAAAAATTAGGATATTCAAGAAGAATAAATCTCTTATAATCTGGCTCAAAGGGGTTGCTAAAATTCGAACACAAAATATCTGAGTTTACAACTCGTACTTATTACCGCTTAAACTACCATTTTAAGATTTTTATGGCACTATTTCAATAATTCCGAGACAGCAACAAAGAAGTAGCATCATTAGATTCCCAAATTGATCTAATTTTTTTGATTTTTACGATATGAGATAAAGAATTTGATCGTAANATGAATAAATCTCTTATAATCGGGCTCAAAGGGGTTGCCAAAATTCGAACAAAAAATATCTGAGTTTACAATTCGTCCTTATTACCACTTAAACTACCGTTTTAAGATTTTTATGGCACTATTTCAAAAATTCCGAGACAGCAACAAAGAAGTAGCATCATTAGATTCACAAATTGATCTAATTTTTTTGATTTTTACGATATGAGATAAAGAATTTGATCGTAACATATCATGCATTCTACAATCAAAATTCTCAACGATTTTCATTATAGCAATGTTATGCTTACCAAATTATTGATCAAATTTTGTTTCTTAAATCAGTGTAGGTGGTTGGATCAGTAGAATCTACTAACTCCATTAAATATTCAATGTATAAAATTTCGATACATCATTTAAGATACAAGATTTAATAAGTAAATTTAGGTAACACAATTTTATCCTTTGTTAGCTTTACAGCGGTGGCAAGTAGTCTTTTCTCGTGGTTTTATTTTTGTACATAACTCACTTTGTTTTATAGGTAACCGTTTTTATTAAAACTCACATTAAGGGTATTTTTTTTTTTGTAGAATGCGTGCATCGATCGAGCCTTGCATTATAACGTTTTAGACACAGATTGTACAATATTATGTATGCTAATCTAGACATGTATGATTTTAAAAGGCGACATAAAATAAAAATACAAAACTCACATTTATAAACGCTTAATTATTACAGATATTCCATTAAGCGATGTTGGTTAGTTAGGTAGACTAAGTAACTTTCAATTCATCTAGTTCATTTTGGAATCAAGTGTCAAAGAGNAGATTGTACAATATTATGTATGCTAATCTAGACATGTATGATTTTAAAAGGCGATATAAAATAAAAATACAAAACTCACATTTATAAACGCTTAATTATTACATATATTCCATTAAGCGATGTTGGTTAGTTACGTAGACTAAGTAACTTTCAATTCATCTAGTTCATTTTGGAATCAAGTGTCAAAGAGTCTTGACCCTTTAGATCTAAAACCACCCCAAGCATTGGACCTAAACTACCAAAGGTCCACACATGACACGTGGTGAAATTTTACTCAAATTAGTCCTTCGATACGACGTGATTAACTGATAAGAATTGACATGAGTTAAACGGATTTTAGTACAAATTTAACGAGTTTGGGTGGTAAACGGATTAATCCGTCAGATACGTTTTTGGGTCCTTTGAAAATCGCTACACTAAATTAGACATAATTGCAAAAAAATACACAGAAAAAAATATTTTGGAAAAAAATATAAAGCTAAGATACAAAGACGTAAATACCCATTTTATAAAATTTTCTTTCCTAAAAACTGTAACAAGACATTTATCTTAAGTGCTGAAATTTTGGATCATTTAATTCAAAATATCTTATCTTTAATGCACCTTGATTCATGTGTATTTTTTTTAAAAAAATAGTTTTGTTTTCAAATTTTATTTATACATTAAATATTTACTACTAGTTAGAGGAAAACTTTAATATTCTGTTTATTTTATGATATATCACTTATTTGAATTTTAAAATTTGTTAATATCCGAACTCCATAATAGTGTAACAATACACTATAACAAAAATAGTGTAACAATAAACTGTAACAAAAATAGTATTAAGTGATTTTGTGCATGTGATAACAAATTCAAAACAGAGATGAACTGTTTTAAATGAAATTATATGTTTGACAAAATATAATAGTATAATATTTTGTGTAAATGTCTTGTTACACTGTTATTGTTGCACTGTTATGGAGTTCGGATATTAATATAATTTAAAAACAAAATCACTTTCTAAAAAAAAAATACTCTTGAATCAAAGTGATTAAATATAATTTAAAAATAAAACTACTTTCCAAAAAAAAATATGCATGAATAAAGGGAGGACATACAAATACGGAATATTAAAATTTTATCATAAAACTAGGAGATATTTAATGCACAGCTTTCCATAAAAATTACGCATAGATCAAGGGAGGAGAAAAATAACACAAAAAAATTTAAAAATTTCAAATAATGTACTTGAACACAAATAAATATCAAAATTAAGGACTTTTTTACTTTATATTTTTTTTTTAGTATTTTTTTTTACAATTAACTTTAATTTGGTATAATTTCTTCTAATTTTCCCTTAAATTTTCAATCTGGTTTGCAATCCTTTAGATTATTTTTTTCAAACCCACTTTGTCAAATCCCATACCCTTTACCAAACAGCCCTAAAAGTATCCAATTACTCCAAATAGATTATTTTTTTCAAACCCACCTTGTCAAATCCCATACCCTTTACCAAACAGCCCTAAAAGAATCCAATTACTCCAAATTAAAAGAAGGGGAAAAATCTTTTTCTCTCTCCTTTATCCTGTTAGGATCACAACTCACAAGCCAAAAATAGCAAAAAGTAACTCAGTAGTGGAGGATATTTTAGTCTTTTCACATTGATTATCCCATATTTCTTTCAGAGTTTTTTAAAAAAGGTAAAAAATTATAATTAGTTCCTAACTTTGCTTTTGTTCTCAATTCTCTAAACTTTCAATTGTTTTTATTTAATCCTTCAATTATAAATTTGGTCTCGTTCATATCCTTTCACTAATTTTTATCATCAAATCGGACTAGTCAAATTTGATCCATATTAGCGTTGATGTAACGATAAAATAGACAGAAGAATTTAATCGAGATAAAATTAATAATAAAGAGATTAAATTAAGATAATTAAAATTTTAAAATATGCAAAGATGAAGGATTAACTATGATGTTTAGGGAGGGAAAGGGGTGGGGGGAACCTGTGGTAGGGGTTAAATAAGGAACTGAGCTCCTCTAAATCTGTATATGTATCAACAAATTCCTCGTCACCTCACAGCCAAAACCTTCTGTACATTTCTCTTCCTGTATATCTTCATATATAACTGCCAATTTCTTTCATTCTTCATTGATTTTGAATTTTCTAAGAGACATGTCAACCGAAGCAGGCATTGTGGTAGAACCGATTAGATGGGGCTCCGGCCGATCGTTGCCGGGGTCAGCACCGGGATCGGCGCCGGGGTCTCCGAGGAATAGGGTCAAATTTCTGTGCAGTCACGGTGGGAAGATTCTACCCAGGCCTGCCGACGGCCACCTGAAGTACGCCGGCGGCGAGACCCGCGTCATCTCTGTTCCTCGGGACATTAAGTTTCCTGGTATACATAAATCTCTCTCCTATTGAAATATGAATGCAATGTTCCTTTGCCCTTTATTTTGACATATTTTGAAATTAAATCCAAATATTGCATTCATATTAGATTTCATTCATGAGTCTTGAAAACGAAAACGTTCCGGTCATGTCAAAATAAAATTTTGATTCTTGATACGAACTTATTAAGATTAAATTCAAATTCGATAGTTTGATGTTGATTTTGTCTCGAATTGACCAATTTGTTTTTATGAAGAGGATACATGCATATTTTGAACATACTTTACAAATTGATAGTTGCTTAAAGAATTATCATACATAGTATGGAGGCATTTTGATATAGCAAAGAAGAGAAATTGATTTAAGAGGAAAAAAAAATGTGAAGGTCTAATGAAATCCTTACCAACAATCCTCTTTATGTTTATAAGGAAGATTCTTCAAAGAATGTGGAACCTTAGTTTTTCTTCATCTTGTGAATCCAATGTTTTTGGAGTAAACTAAATTCAATGCCTTTCATCATCTGCATACATGTTTCCTTCCCCAATTCCCTTTAAAAGTAGACTATATCAATCTATACCCAAAAAATAAAAAACAACAAACTTGTTATAAATGCACTCACCTTTTGGGTCTTGGAGATGTACTTGTGCATTGGCTTGAGTTTCTATGATATTTTTTTCACTTTGCACAATTTATATTTTAAATATTAGTTTATTTTGTTCGTTTGTTACGCAATTTAAAATTAGAAGGAACACAAGAGAGTGAGGTAGGGGAGAATAGAGAGACAGTTGTAGATTAGTGAGATTTCTAGTTTTAGGGAGTGTGTTGATTGAGTTGTCTAATATTAAGGACCGTGCTGAGAAAATGATGTGAAAAAAATATTTTTGGGATGAATTTGTACCATTGGATTAAAGTAGATGAAAATTAAATCGGTTGTAGATGATTATGTTCATATTGGATCAATTTGGCTATCATCCCAAAGTTGTCCAAGCATTCCCAACGTAGCAGTTGAAACCTGAAAGAGAGAAAAAGAATGAAAGCCACACTCCAAACTTGTTATTGATATTCATCCCATGAATTTGCTAGTGATGACATGTTTTATATTTCTCCTTTTTTTTTTTTTTAAAAAACTTTTGCAGAACTTATGAAGAAGCTTACCTATCTGATTGAAGGGGAGATGGTTCTCAAGTATCAGTTAATCCCCGAGGACCTCGACGCTCTGATCTCTGTAAAGTCTGATGAGGATCTCAGACACATGCTTGATGAATGTGATCGTTATGAAAGCACAGGAACCCCGAGGCTTCGAGCCTTCCTGTTCCCAGCAAACTCTGTTGTAATTGAGAATCTAACAGGGTCACTTGAGCAGCGGTACGTTGACGCCATCAATGGAATTCTACGCCCTTCGGCATTGTCTGGCATGAAACACTTGTCTATCAATGCAAATCTTGCGCCTTACAACTTCCCTTCCACCTGCTCATCGCCGATATCACCCGAGAGTTGCACCACTGAGGCTATGCACCCTGAGACTGTACTGCTGAATGGCTACCAAAATGGGAGAATTCATATGCAGAGAGTCCATAGCTCTCCTAGCCTATGCAGCCTTAATGGCCAACACCATAGCAATCAGCATATCCAGCAGCAGCACAACCATTATTACCCGAATTACCGGCAATCCCAACCCCATGGCTGCCACTTGAGCAAACCACCGATAGATTCTCATAAAGGCGGTGGACCTGAACGGTTCATGACGGTCAGGTCAGTTGGCCGAGCCGACAGTGCAAGGTACCAAGTGGACCATCCCCCCCATGTCTATTATTCTTCTACTAGACCTAGCAAGGGGAGTGGATGCTGCAACAAATGTTCACAATTTGATGAATGTGGTCCTTCTTGTACAGAGAGAAGGTTTGACAGAACTGGCAGTTTTTCTCTAAGTCCCTCTTTTCCCCTTAGTCCCCACTATGGCCATGTGGGAGTTAGGGCGTGGGACAGCGCCATGCCCGGGGACAGCTGAATTGACTAGCTCAAAATGCTACAACTTGGTTTTTACTAGCAGAAAATACATACGTTTGGTCCATCATTTGCCTCTTACTCAGTTGTTCAGTGGCATTGGAAGTGTTGGAGGATTCGACTTTGTGAAGAAGTATCATCAGATAGTTTGTACATATAATTGCAGAACACTGAATTGTAACTTTCTTGCAGTTCATTAAAGTGAAGCAAACTAAAAAGCTTGCATTTTGTCTTGTTAGTTGGTGCCTAGTACATGGACAATTTTGAATTATAATTTTAGTTTTTATTTTCTATTTTTTACCCAAATTATCTCTATATTTATAGTTAATGTATATACATAAAATGAGTGTCAAGTTAGAAAATAAAAAAAGTAGAATAAGGGAACATATCAAGTGGTTGATTTAATTACTTATTGGTTGTTTATGATATTTATATTTCAAATATTTTACTTCTACCATTGTTGGGGGGGGGCAATACTTATCGGAATTTTCATCAAGAATATAGAGTGATACTTTCATAAGATCCAATGATAACTTGAAAGAGGAAAATAAAAGCTAAAGACAAAAATGGAGAGCACTATGGAAGTTACAAAGAATAACCAAAATACAAGTAGCCTCAATTACTTAAAGAGAGAAGATTTCTCTTCTACTTGCAAAGTGAGGAACCAAAATACCAGTAGCCTCTATTAATTAAAGAGATAAGATTCCTCCATTGTTTGAAAAGTGAGAGGAGAGCACCATTATTTCTTTTTAGTTTTGTAATTTTATCGAATTTTATGAATATAAAAGATCTTCCTTTAAATAATACTATATATTCATTGCACTTGTAATTGCAAATATGTACTCCTAGAAAGGGAAGGGTCTGATTTCATATGGATTCATTCTGCAATGTTAATGGAAGTAACCAAGCAATCAACATGAATGCAAATTTCTCATTTCATATAGATTCGATATGCAATGTTAAGACACAATCAAAACATTGTTCAACAAAGCAGTTGCCCAAACACCACCACCGCCCTCCCCCCCTC